TTTAAGTTCATTAATCTTAAATAGTGAGTTTTGACTTAATGCTGCAGTTTAAACCAAATAATTACTAATTAATTAATCTCTACATTTTTTAAGTGCTAACCTAAGAATTCAACTCTTGGAGGTTTGATAAAATTAGTAAAAAGTTAGCACAACCATACCTGAGTCTTTCTGATTAAACTGAGCTGTTTGTTTTCTCTGCTGGCGTTTGTCAGACCTCAGCGACCGCCGGCTGGAGGTGGTTGGCCTGGAAGGAGCCATGGAAATGGGGCAGATATACACGGGTCTTAAAAGCGCTGTGAGGCTCGCTAAAACTTCCCAGATCACCATCAGGTAGGAGCGAGTCCTTAAGACTAAATAATCACTTCTACTCCTGTTAATTGCAGCTGAAAGCAGATGTTTGGTGTACAAATTCACATTTACAGTAATATATTTTGGGTTTTTTAATCAAAAAACTCCATGCAACTTGACGATTTGTTTGTGTTTCATACTCAGGACGAAGAAACCGTTGCCGATGCAAATAGATGGAGAGCCATGGATGCAATCCCCCTGCACGGTAAATAAAACCTGGAAATATCATTAGAGCTGGAGTACAGCAGGGTTTCTGCAAAGTCTTTAAAACAATTATTAAAAAGTCTTAAATTTTGCCATCTCAGTTTCAGTCCAGAATACCCACAGAATATATTAACTTTAATTACTTGGATGTTGAATAAACCTTTTAGTTTTTTTTATTCCTTTCTTCTTCCACTGCATTTTTTTATTTTTTTTATTTTTTGAGAAATGGCAGCTTTGGGTACGACGTAGCATTTGAGCCGTTGTAGATAAAAGAAAAAATGTGGCAGCGGGGAAGTAAATATCTGTGAAAAAACCTCAGAAGTTTTGAAAAATTAAAAAGAATCGTGCATATTCTCTGATGTCAAAAAGTCTGGAAGAAAAAAAATCCTTTAGTAAAGGCATAAATTTATATTAAAACTAGAACGTTTTCTGACATTGTAAAGTCATATATTTCCATGAAAAACAATTCAAAAGTTTACAGAGGTTAAAAAGTCAAATATTAGTATTTTTGTCACAAATTATTTGTACCATAAATGATTGAAATTGTCCATTTACATTCAGAAAACATAAAAAAAAAATTCTGAGAAATTTTAGATTTTTTTCCCCCTTAAAATGTATTTTAAATTTTCTATTAACTGCCTTTAATAATTAAAAATTATTCTACTGTTTCTTGAAAATTATGACTTTACAACAACAAAGAATATCCAGGGTTTTTCTTTGTAAATGTGAGATTAACCTAGAAATTTGAGGGTTTTTTGTTGGAAATTTACTCCTCATATTTCTTTTTTTTTTTTTAATAAATAATGATTTATATATATATATATATATATTAAATAATGATCTGCAAGTTTTTAGAAAGTATTAAAAAGCCAAAAGTTTAATTGTCTCAATTTTATTAAATAAAAAGCCATTTTTTTGCAAAGAAAATACTATTATTTAGGTGATTACTATTATTCCATTTACTTTTTACTTTAATGATTTTATTTGTTTAATGTTCTGTACTTTTCTTATTATTACGCTTTTACTGATTTAAAGCCAGCCATTGTAAAAACCATAAAAACCTACTGTTGTTTTTTTTTTATGGAAATAAAATCTAAAAATGCATATTTACAACCTGCTCTTTTCCCTTGAGATTGTGTAGAAGCCATAAAGTACATATGTTAAGATTTGGTTGTATAACTAACGTAATCTAAAATTAAACATGCTTTGCTGAATCTTGCAGAAACCCTGTATAGGAAACATTTTTAATCGCTGCATTAGCTTCAGTACAATGTTTGATTTGGTAACGTTTTTAACCGCCTCTTGTTTTTCAGATTCATATCACACACAAGAATCAGGCGTGTATGTTGATGGCTCCTCCATCTAAATCATCAGGCTTCTTCAAGTAAAACTGACCGTCTTAATGCATGTTTACTGTTTATCCAGGACTGACACTTTTTGATATAGAATCAGTGTCTGATGTAGTTTAATATTTGCATTATAACAAAGAAAATAGGATGTTTTTTCCAGACATCTTGTGTCTGTAACACATTTCAAGCATGGCATCATATGAAAGCAGACCCGAATGTTAAACTATGTTTGCATTGTGGCCAAAAGGATTTTGGCCAAATTATCTCAGTGTTAGTAAAACTCTCCAGTCCTGCTGTTTCGAAGCTGGACAGCAGGTGGGAGTGCTGCTCTTTAGAAACTTTAGGTAAGGTGAAAGTGGCTGTGATCTTAAATAGGACAACTGTTTGGCTTCATGTGCCTTTATAATCATTTCTCTTTGGTTCTGATTAGATAGAAGACCGAGGTTTTCTGTATGTTTGCACTTGGAGGACTGACCATGTAGTATTCTTGTTTTGTTGTGGCTGTAAATATTGCTCTGAAAGCCAAATGTATGTTTAGAAACAAAGGTGGAGAAACACCTTTATTTCAAATTTAGGCTAATATTTTAGCTTTTTTTTATTGTTATTTTCGAAAATATACTTGAAAACTGTTTAAGGGAATGGAAAAACAAGCGGCCTGCTGTTCCTCTCTGTGTTTTCCAAGTTTTTTTTTACCCTTATGTGGACCAAACTTGGTTTTTCTGGGTTTGATTAAATCAGAGAGCTACTCATTAGTGATCATATTATCAATACATATTCTCTGAATGTGTTATGAGTTAGACTATTGATTGGGGCTATTTATTATAGTATACATACTTAAATGCTTTATCAGCTGTATCATTTCAGTATAGCTAGAGAATGTAAAAGTAATAACTCCATGTAAAGATTTTAATAAATTGTCTGGGATTCAGTTTGTGTTGTGCTCATTTAACACATTTAACAGAACATCGTGTAATTGATTCATTTCACCTCTAGGGGGCAGAATTTCTCTTCCAAAACTTTTATGAACTCCATGTCTAATATAAAATATGTATACGCATGTAGTAACAAGCTGCTGATTTGTGGTGTGCATTCATTTCTCTTATGATTTGATTCCCAGTAAAATACAAAGATTGATAGAGACTTGGTGCCTTGAAAAATCATTTATATCCCTTGAACTTTTCCACTGTTTGTTTGGTTAAAATCACAAATTTCAGTTAATTAGTTGTTTGGATTTTATGCTATTTACCAACACAAGCAAGAACAATCATTGTAAAGTGTAAAGAAAGGATTGTTGAATTAAAATGTATATTAAAAATACATGGGTTTCATGTGTTTTTACAAATAAAAATGTGAAAAATGTGACTTGCATCTGTATTCAGCTCCATTCACATTTGTCCTTGAATAAAAAGCAGCGAAACTTTCCTAAAAGGCTGTTTAACATGTAGATACTCAGATTACACTTGTGTGTAGTTTAATGTCTCATTTTAACTCATCTAGAGCTGCAAATGTTAAATATTTTTGTTGGGCTAGAAAATTTTTTTAATGTTAGAAAATACTCAGCAACAAAAATGAGATTCATGTTTTTGAATATTTGGTGAAACTGTCACCATGTTGTGACAGTTTAGCATGAGACAGATCATGTATGAATAAAATTGAGCTCCGCCTTCTCTCAGTGCTACCTAGAAACAACCAATCAGAGCCATGAGGAGGGTCTTAGTGCTGTCAATCATCCTTGTGTGAGAGCTACTCATTGCTCCCCACCTTCACCTCTATACTCTCTGCTACTTTTTCCTGACTACAGAAACTGTTATAAATGCTGAGGTAGCAGAAAAACAGCTTTCCTGGAACTGTTGTTGTTCTTCCACCATTTAACAGTCTGTACATGAGGATGATTGACAGCGCTAAGACCCTCCTTCCGGCTTTGATTGGTTGTTTCTGACTGGGAGCAGTGAATTTCTTCAGACTGCAATAGTAGAAGAGGAGGAGATTGATCTTTGCACATTTTATCTGGCTACATTACACTGTCACTGCCTCCTAGCGACAGTTGGCATAGTACCCCAAAAGTATTACTACTTCAACATACTTTGACTCAAGTAAAAGAAAAAAGTAGCCATCCAAGAAGTTACTTAAGAGTCAAAACTATTTGGGGTAACACTTTATTTGAAGGGGGGTGAATAAGACTTTCATGACACTTTCATGAACATGACATAACACCTGTCATGAACATGAATAAGCCTTCATGAATATTTATGACTGTCATAAAGCATCATTTGGTAAATTATGACACTTTTAATACAAAGTTGACATTATTCAAAATGTCTTTGTTATGACAACTTGACATTAACCAAGAAATCATTACTGTTTAAACTTTACCTTTAATAACATAAAGATAGTGCAATCAGTAATACTTTTATAACAAATTTATGTCAGTAATGATTTATTGGTTAATGTCAAGTTGTCATAACAAAGACATTTTGAATAATGTCAACTTCATATTAAGTGTCATAATTTACCGAATGACGCTTTATGACAACAGTCATAAATATTCATGAAGGCTTATTCATGTTTATGACAGGTGTGATGTTTATGACAGTGTCATGACAGTCTTATTCAACCCCCTTCAAATAAAGTGTTACCCTATTTGGTAATAACTGATCAAATAGTTAGTCATTTAATATTGTAAAATTACATCATCAGATGGACCAAAATATAAAGTTAAATGGAAATGTTGGTGTTTTACAAACCAAAATGACAATGATTCATGGAAGTAACAAAATAACAAAATCAGGCAAAAAAAAAAAAAAAAAAATCAAAATCAGTTTCTTTCATGAAACTTTAACAAATCCTTCAGGTGTGTCTGTGTGTAGTGAATTTTTGATTAAAACATGTTTGTTTTTCATTCATTAAAGACTCAAATAAGATCAGCAAAACTTCATAATAAAATTCCTCAAAAAGTACAGCGCAGTAAAAAATACTCCGAAAAGTAACTTTTGTCCACTCAAGTAAATGTAATTGAGTAAATGTAACTACTTGCTACCCAACTCTACTAGTCTGATTCCCTTCAGTGTGAAATGTGAAAGGGAAACGCCCGAGGCGCTCCTGAAAGCATCACAGCCAGGGCTCTTGGCACTCGTTACGTCGCTGGGAGCTAATGAGTCCCCGCCTCCACCGCCTGTTGAGCGGCGGCTCTTCACTCCCAGGAGCCGCAGTGAAGTTCTGGTGAGCTTCACGTTGAGGATCAAACTTTCGGCATCTCTCGCCGTCGGCTTGTGTCACACTTTGTACCGGACAGTCTGGGCTACATTTCATTCACTTCCCAGCAGCAATGACGTTCCGGAGGCTGAAGAAGGTGAACTCCAGCGGGGTGGACGGAGGATCCGCATCACAGGACAACGACATTTATTTCCCGTCGTCAAAGTCGGACAGCTGCAGGACGGTGGACCTCCCGGCGAACTCCTCCGAGGTTTATAACTACAAGACTCTGGCTTATTCTGGGGGCACGCTGCCCAGAAACTTCAAGAAGGTAAGGCTCAAAAATCATTTTATTAATTTCACACCGTCAAATTTACCTTTTAAAGTTATTAATTTATTATTTGTAGAAGTAAAAATAAAAGAAAATCTGATTTTTTTGTTTTTGTTTCTATTTACACTTTTCTTTTTTCTTTTTTTTTTTTTTAAATTATACTCGTAAATAGCCAGCATTATCCTCAGTCATCACTAAAAGCAGCATGTTCGGTCCAATAGCACACATTTGGGACAAAACAGGGGCGGTTCAACCCCACATGGGGCCCTTACTGGAATCGTAACGGGGGTCAGGAGCTTCCAACCACATTCAGTCACTATTTTTCACTTTTGTCCTTTCATATAGTTGAGTTTTTGGTCATTTTTCCCAGTTTTTCTTTTTCTGTTCTTCTGTTCTGGGATGTTTCATACCAACGTTGCATCAGTTCATAAAACCAGTTTTATGTTTACCTGCTTTAGTTTATAGTTTAGTGTGATAACGGTATAAAACTCTTTCATATTTACAATAATATATATATAGATAATATGGGTTTTCGCTGTGAAATTTCTTCGGCACTCAATTGAATCACAATCATTACATACTTATCAGAACATACAGTTAAATTAAATTTAAAAATGGAGAATTTTTCCTACTTTTCTTATATAACTCATTAAAATATTAAACCACCAAACAAAACTGATACAGTACATTACTAAAGCCAGAATGCTTTGTTTATAAATGAGAGTAAGCTGGGATGAAATGGAAACCAGAAATTAATATCATCCACGTAGCATAATCAAATTAATTGACTTTACAACAAATTGTTTGTTGCTTCATTTAATAAATTAAATTAATCCAGATCTTAATGACATTTGCTGATAATTTTAAGTAGTTTGCCCTTATTTTGTTGACCAGGTCTTTATGGTAATAAGAAAACATCAAATTATTGTTGACAATAAACATTCAGCTGGATAAACATGTAATTTAAATGCAAAATTTTAATAAACTGCACTGAAATGTATTCAAATACCAAAATATTGTGTCCAAGCAGTGCTTTGTAATTTCAGCATAACACAAATTGTACACCTCTAATGGAAAGCGAATCAGTAACAAAATATTTTACTCAGGAAGGCAATTTTTTCAGCCACACTGTAATTTACCATAAATGATCAGATATTTAGGACAAGTTTACCCATGATGCATCAGATCGAGCTGCCCTGATGTGGTTCAGGATCTGAAGTAGCACAGTTTCTTTTACTTGATCTAGATCTTGAAATAGATTAGAGTGATGAGCACGAAATCTGAGAAATCTAAAATCTCTTTCAGATCTTATCTTTTGATGATTTTTGTACTGGTTGTGGTTTTAAAAAAAAACCCTGCTGACCTCGACTCCCCGAAAACGGTTTGATCTCCTCATTTTGGCTCTGCTGGAAGATTAAGTCATTGATTTTCAAGTGACTGACATTTCTTCTTCTACTCTGTCCAAGAATGACATCAGTTTTCTGTCTCATTCTGGTCACTCAGCATTTTTCTGCTCTGGGTTTTCTCCAGTTGTTCGACACTAACTTTGGCCTGAGACAGACATTTGGGGTGTTTTCACAACCGATACTCCAGTGGACTCGGTTTGATCGGGAACCAAAATTGCAACATTTGCTACATTTTCACTGTGTCAAACAATCCAGGCTAATTGAAAAACCAGTTCCCCACAGCACATTTTCAGCAACAAGGCCAATCGAAGTGCTAAAATTAAATTTTTGCTCACATTTTGCAGAGATGGAAGTTGCGCTCAGTGTCTTCTTTGGAGGTTTTCAAGTCGTTTCCTTCAGTAGTTCTTGGTGCAGCGCCGCCACAGGCGCGGAGGGGAACAGGTTTTTCAGTTAGCTTGGATCTTTTGTCACAATGCAGAGTGAAATCGAACCGAAGTAGCTGAAAATGTAACAAATGTTGCAGTTTTGGTCCGTAATCAGACCGAGTCTCCCGGACTATCAGGTGTGAAAACACCTTTAGAGAATCCCGTCTCCACAACGTGTTGTACAGTGCGGCGCAGTTATTAGGAACCCCACCCACCCGCAGCCTGCAGCGGGGCCAACAACACCGCATTGTGCGCACTCAGGGACGGAGACCCCGTCAGGTCCGCCCCCGGCTGCTCCGTGTGGGTACTTGGGAATAAATGCCCTCATTGAGACAAGTGCTGGACAATTCTGTAAGTGTTGGGACATAAAGAAAGCAACATTTTACTGGGCAGAGAGCCTCTGGCACAAAGCAGGCTTTCATGGGAGCAACATTTGAACATGATTGAGGAGATTTTCAGCCAAAGTGTCTGGATGGTTACATGTCGTTTTTACAGTCAGGTAGAGCAGGAGCCTGACCTGCTGCTGACTTTGGTTTATCTCTCAATGCGCTTATTGTAGCCCAGTGTTTACCACAGAGCCTTGTGCGTTTCTGTTTATAGCCTGGAGTTTGTGTGAATGGCTCTAAATAACAAATAAATCAACAGTTTGTGCGCTTCGGGGGCAGCTGATCTGCTGTGAAACTCAGGCTAAACTTAGCTTTAGGTCTAATTTCCAGTTGAAAGTAAACCAAAAGCATCCCAGACATGCATGTCTAGTTTCACTCTTATTATTTTCGAGCATAATGGATCAGTGGCTTAAAAACACAAACAAACAACCTGCCACGCGCTTGCTACTGCTAAACCTGACAGACTGGTCGAAGCAGTTATGCGTACATCCTGCACATGTTGGACACTTTTGGGGAGGGGGGAATCCCTTGTGAGTAATCTGGCAGTGACCTCAAGCAGGTGTCTGAGATGTTTCATCTCTCGTTTTCGTTTTCTCCTCACAGGGTGGAGGCTCGCAGAAGTGGAAACCCCTAACGCTGCCCCCAGAACCACAAAGGTACAATCTCCTCTTCGTCAACGTCAGTCACAGCTTTCTTCTTCTTCTCTCACTCTGACGCCACGACTGCGTCATCGCAGAGTCCATGTCCAAACAGAGAGCTTTTGTAGATTTAGGTTTTCGTGAGATTTGTAAAGCGTCTTCATGAATTTTTATGTCTTCTGCTGGTGGCATTTCATTGTCCTGTGTCTCTGTGACGTCCACATGGACACAGAGGACGTCCTGTACGGCCAGCAACTTGTCCTCTCATGCTTTTCAGACACTGTACTAATAAATCCACATATCCCAAAAGCCTCTTGAACTTTTCCACCGTTTGTCCCAATGCAAAGACAAACGTCACTGCAATATTTTGGTATTTTATGTGATTCACCAACAGAAAGTAAGGTGTTGTTTTGATGTAAATAAAAAAGAGAAGTCTGATTATTTTTGTGAAAAACACCTCATGATATAAGGGTTTCGTATCAGTCAGTCGATAATTATTGATTAGTTCTTTATTTTAAATATCGGAAACTGGTTACGTGACCTTATTTTATCCAGTTTTCACTTCATGTTTTTGTTTTTTATTTTTAAGCAGTTAAAGTGCTGCTACACAAGTTACTCAACTGGTTGTTGGTAGCATTAATTAACATCAAGGTCAAATAACTCATGGAATCACTTAATCAATATCTATTGATTAAGTGATTTCTGAATGCAGTAGATTGTATTGGATCTTATTTATGGATGTCAGAGTTTTACATTTTACATGTCAGCTGCTTAATTGGTTTATGACAGCAATAAAAGTTGCTTTATTTGAGAACAACTTGCAAATAACTGACTTTCATTTGGTTGTACTAAAGATGAGTTAATCTTTTTGACTATTTTGGTTTTAAATCATATTTTCTTTCTCCCTTTAGGAAGGTGGTGGACTTGGAGAAAAATGAAGAGGAGGCCTTTGGTTTTGAGATTCAGGTAAATCACACGATTAATGAGGATTTCCTAGTTTTCTAAAATGTCAAGTGCCATTTAATTCTCATGCTTTAAAGCGTCAGAAACAATCAAATAATTTCTACAGATTCACCGATCCGATATTAATATCTCTATCGTCTCAATATTGAAAAAAACATCTATGTGCCAGATCCATAAGCGCAGATCTATCCGGTCTAATTCTTTACTTTTTGCTCTGAGTGACGTCATGCTTTATTATTTCTTTTACATTATATTTATATTCCCTAATTGCACTTTCTGCACCATTGAAAGAAGGTTTATTATAGTTTATTTTCACATGTTTGACCACGTTAGCCAGCCTATTGTATTACATTGGCTGTTCTCATAATTGCACTGACAGAACAAATTAAAGTTGTGTTGTTTTTACTTATTTTACCAGTTTTGAAGCTATTGATGCGTTAAAGTGTGCTGTACTGATGCAGAGTTATCATATAAATGTGTAATTTTTCTGTATTGGAACAATATCGGCTGATGCTAAACCTCAGATATCGGTATCTGAGAAAAGTGCATTCCTAATGATTTCCTGCGTCTCTGAATCGAGTTGTTTCTTTACGCCAGCGGGAGTAAAAAGGTCATGCATCAGTCGAATAACTTGTTCATGTTCATCCCATGACTGAAGCCTTTTTTCCCCTGCAGCATCTTTATTTTAAGCGCTGTGGTTTACTCACACGTTGTGGATGTAAAACCTGCTCTACTCTCTCCCACCATGCCAGCAGGAACTTTACTCACAAATCTCCAGCCCCCCTGCAGCGCCACGCCTCACTCTGTTTTTCAAACTCATTCTTTGAATAGTTTGCAGAAATGATCAAAAAGTATGAGCACAGCATGGATATTATAATGTGCTGCTGCTCGCATAAAGTCTCAGGGACTGAAGGGCTTCTTCTAGGAAAAGACACGGTGTTCTATTTGCGCTTTCGTTAGGCGTTCCCGCCCTTCCTGCCCGGCTGCGGCCAGAAGGAAGTGAGGCCATGAGGAGCAGTTTGATGGCCAGCAGAGACCGCCATGAATGTGGAGTCTCGCGTTTCCTGGTGCTTTTCCTTCCTCCGAGTCGGTACTGTGGATATGGAGCTGGGAATGCAGCATGCAAATGTGAAATTTGCCTTTCAGTGATATTTGCATGCTAACATGTTTACCCTGCTGGTTGCTGAGAAGGAAGCCGGTAGCTATAAATACAGGCCAGATCTGAATCATTTCAAATTTCCACTGGCACTCTCATGCAACCTGGATGCATGCTCTAACTGGAGCAGAACCTGTGCAAGGCAGATGCAAACTTTTGCAACATTTGTCTAGTTTTATTGTCCTTTTTTAACCGGTAATGGCCTCTTCAGCAGCAGCATGTTAACTGTCTAAAAGGTGTCTGGTATGGGGAAGTGTATTTTTGTCCTTTCTGACCTTTGTGCAGAGGCGCTATGGCCACCGAAACAAGGAAGTTCATTGAAATGCATGTGGAAGTAACAAGTCAGAGTTTCCAAGACAACAAAATATAAACGTTAACGCTGGCATGGAAGTACGCAAATAGTTTAAAACAGCAAAAATAAGGAAACATGTTGTCATATTAAGCAAAACTGTGAAACTACAGAAATACTCTACAAGGCTGCTGAAATGTTTATTTATAGCCGTTATGGGCATGAACGTCATTTTAATTTAGGGTTTTCAAAAAGGCTTTTATTTCAGACAACAACTTGAATGATTCCTATAAACTACAATTGACTTCACAAGTTTTTTTTTTCTTATATTAAGATTTGTATCTTTAAATGTACTTCTTTTAATATTGTACAATTTTGTATGTTTTTTTAATTATTTGTCAGAATAATCCATTTACAAAAATAATTGTTAGTTGCAGCCCTTGTTCAAATGCATCATTAAATATTACTCTTCTATTCAAGCCCATGATGAGTCTTTAAGTTCTCCGTTCGGTTTGTTTTGGGAGGCGAGAGGAAGCGGCTCTTCTTCTCTGCTTGCGTGCGTCACCCATGTGCGTCCTCTGTGATAAAACGGTCTTTCCGGTACTGTCCGTCACGACTTCCTCTGCATGCGGTTCAGTGGCTTTCTGTCTCTGATGTTGCACCGATACCACAATATTTCAGAACATCAGAAGTAAGTCGGTTTTGAAAGCCGTCTAAAAAGAGGAAGACTTGTTTCACCTTCACGTTCTCTGTTGTCTCTTTCCCAGACTTATGGCCTTCACCACCAAGAACCAAACTCCGTAGAGATGTGCACGTTCGTGTGCCGGGTGCACGACGGCAGCCCGGCCCAGCTAGCAGGACTTAAAGTTGGCAAGTGAACCTTTTTTTTTTAAGTTTTTGTTTTTTTTCGCCATGGTTTACTTTTTTTGGGGATGAAACCTGAAATAACCTGAAAAAATGCTTGAAACAAACAAAAGGGAAGAGAGCATGACCAGAGTTTCCTTTGTGTTTTTATCAGCGGACATTGTGCACATTACATCAGCACAAACCAACCTGCTGCTTGGTTGTTTTGGGAAGTTGAAATGTGGCTGCTTGATTTGACATTTTTCCTGCTAACAAACAGCTATTTCAGCTGACACATGCAGCGCCTTCGAAAAAGCGTTAACACCCCTTAAACCTCGTCGCAAAAAACTCAAGAGACACAAACTGCTGCCAGAAGTGACCCTCGTTGCTAAATAAATTCCACCTCTGTGTAATTTAATCAGTTAAAGCGAGCCCGATCATTTCTATTTGCATATTTGTTTTTCTCTTTCCACCAAAACTAAAGGCTTCATTCACATGCATTTGGTTTTTATAGACGCTTCATCGTTCATTTTATTTGTTCTTTTAGTTGTTTTGTTTATTTATCCTGAATATTTGAAATATCTTCCAGTTCCAGAGTTAAATGTTTGCTAGAAATTAAAGTTTCATCTTTGAGAGAGTGAACTTGCATTATTATACCATTATATTACTTGAAAATGGTTTCAAAACAACAATATTGCCGTTCATCTGGGATGATTTATCGTCCAGAAACATTTGTTATCATAACAGTTTTACTTCTTAAAACTATAGAGTGAGATTTCTGCCCAGTCATCTTTGCAAAAAATATATCAAACAAAAACATTTTCTAACCGTTCAAGTCTTACAGAGTTGAGTCACTTTTAGTTTTTAGTAGAGGTGAGCAATGTGGACTTTTAATTTTATCGCAATATTTTATGGTGCTATTCTTCTTTTAGGTAGCATGGCACAGCTTTTATAACACCAGGCAAATATTGTTTTAAAATTTCAAATAGGCTTCTTTAGAAATTAAACTTAAAGAAGTGGCATTATTACCAATATGTTACTTAAAAATGGTTTCAAAACAATATTATCGTTTATCGCAATAACTTTTGCAACAATTTATCATTCAGCAAAAGTATTCAGTTTGTAAATGTGCAAAAGATTATAGATAATAACACTAAAGGACCTCCTGTTGTATTTGCCATTAACTGTATCGACTCAGGGGAGACTGAAGACAAATGCATGCCACACTTTTCAGAAAAAAGAGAGGGGAAAAATGTGTTATTTTTCTTCAACTTACTTTTTTTTGGTTTGTCACATAGATTCCCCCAAAACGGACTGAAGCAGTGAGTAAAACACCAGAGTGATAGTTGAGTTTGAAGCAGAAGAGGTTCAGGAAAGGACAGGGAATAAATAAATGTGAGCCGACACCAGAGAGCTTCTGTGTGCCTCAGTAAATTGTCTCTGCTTTTGAAAGTCGTCACGGCTCAGTCACGACTCGCCGAGCGCCACGTCTCCGCCGGTCAGCGATGAAAGAGAGAAGGTGTTTATCTCTTCCAAATCCAAACTGGATGTGTCAGTTCCACTTCTTTCACTTCTCGCTCGCTGTCCTATCTGGACACAAAGCGCGTCGAGTCCAAACCACATCTAATTACCTCATGCCACTCTCTAAGAAGATGAAAAGGCTTCAGCTACTTAACGCCACACACATGTAAAATATTTGGGTTCTTTTCACCGTAAGGAAACTTGGAGTGCAGTGACAATTTGAACGCCACGCCTGCACATGTGCACTTCACATGTGCAGAGGTTTCATCCCTCGGTTGGCTGCATCTTCAGGAAATTAAATCCATATTGACTGGGAGCATCGTGACCTCATGGCGGTTGTTTAACACGTGTGTGTGTGTGTGTGTGTGCGCAGGGGACACCATTGCAAGTGTGAACGAGACCGCCGTGGAGGGATTTCTGCACAAGGACATCGTTCAGCTCATCAGGTCATGCGGCAACACACTGAGGTACGGCTGCTGCTAACGATTATTTTTACAAATCAATTGTTCTAGCGATTAATCGAATAAAAAATTTGCTCATTCTGTGATATAAATTAGTAGAAATACATGAGCAGATGCAACTAAACAAATAAGTAATTTTTAAAGAGGAAAATAAATATTCTATTGTCTAAAACGCTTGACCATTTGTAAAAGGTTCTGGGTGGAACATACTTATAGAGAAAAGTTTATTATTATCTTGACAGCAAAATATGTCTATTTTTTGTACAGGTTTGTTCTGGTTCCTACTCTTAAAATGTTGTTTTTTGAGTCTGTATTTTTCAGTTAATTACAAAATTAATTGACAATTATTTCAATAATTAATCACGATTAATCTGATTAATCGATTCAGCCCTACTCTCTGGTGTAGTTTAAAAGGCTGCTTTTAAACTTTAAACCTCAGCTTAAACTTTCATCAAATGGTCTTTTGTGAGTCTGCATTTTCCAGTTAGCAGTTAATTGATTACATAATTAGATGACCGTTACTTCAATAATCGATTAATCTGATTAATCGTTTCAGCCCTACACTCAGGTAAACAGTTAAAGGCTGCTCTGGAGCTTAGACCTCACCTTAAACTTTTAAGTTAAAGTTTGTAAAGCACATTTTCAGTTGATTCCCATCAGACCAGTGGAGAAATTCAAACAGAAGTTGAGAATATTGTGTGCCAAACCCCTGCTGGTGATGATTGGACGAGTGTCTTCTGTAACTTCCTGTCCAGACGGTTAGGTTCTGAGTTTCGTACCGAGTTACATGAGGACAGACGAGCGTTACCTGATATCCGTCCTCCATGTCCTCAGGATGTGTCTCTCAGCTGTGTCAATGTTGGAAACCTGCTGAGCCGCTCCTCAGTTATGTCACCAAACAGTTTCTGCAATTCACTCCGACGAGTTTCTTTGCCAGAAGAGCTAAGAGCTGAGTCAGCGGAGAGGGAAAACAAAACACAAATAGTCGACTTTTTCTGGTCCTGAAGTTTCATTTCCTACTGCTCACGTTGTAGAGCTGAGAAAGTAAAATGAGAATGTTTTCATTCATCTTTTCCAGCTGAAATTAAATTCCTGTTTTTGGTCCTCTCAGTTTTTTAGCTCCAGGTAAAACAAACCATATTTATGGAAACATAAATATGGTTTATAAAGTCTACTGGCTTTGAATCTGACATGATGGACGTTTCCCAAAACTGTGACAAGTTTTAATTAATATATTCATATAAAACCCATATCTACCTTAAAATCCAATTCACCACTAATCAAAGTGAAAATTAAACTACTACTGACTTTAGTTAAAGTATTTTGTTCACACAGAAAATTCCTGATTCCTTTAAACAGCAAAAGAGGATTTTAAAGCGAGATGAACAGTTTTATTTCTTTTACACCAAATGATTGAAAATGCCAATGCAGCAGTTTTTGTACCTGGTTTTTTAAAAGCGGCAACACTTTTTAGATATTATGCTTCTGTTTCCATCACTTTTATCAGCTTGCTTCCCCACCCACAGTATTTAAAAACCCGCCGTGACTTTTGGTTACGATATACCGAACACTCATTATAAAAGTCGCAGAAAAATGCTAAATAATGGGAATTTGAGCCAAATTAGGGACAAAATTCAGCCGTTTGGAGCTCCTGAACTCAGTCACAGTTTACAGTAGAAAAACGGTTCAAAGTTTAAGCTTCTCATGGAAAGTTGAGCTTTGACTGACTAAAAGTTTGTTTTGATACCGTTTGTTTTGAACACAGTAGGAGTTTAAGCTTCATAAATTGTTGTTTGCTGTTTTTCGCTTGTGTCTTTAAGAAAGTGATGACGTCAAGCACTCTAGGTTTTGACCTGAAAAACTATCTATTTAACATGCTGTGATGGGTTTAGTCTTTATCTCTTATGCAGTTCGTAATGCATCAAATTGTTGGCATTTTTGTCTACTTTCACGCAGTGCGTCTCCTAATGTTGCAGGACATGGGGTTTTCTGTCAAATCCACCCAAAGTGCAGTGTAGTCGCACTAAAACTCCCATTCACTTCCATTATATTTCAGCTGCTTTTTTTCCCTCAAACCTCTTTTTAAGGGTCTCTTTAAGTCGTCGTATCGCTTCTATACAACACTGTAGACTTATAAAAACTCAGGCATGGGGCCACCAGAGGCTTCTACCTCTCGCTGTTAAGCAACATTTTGATACAATGTATCGTTTTCGCACAGCACCTGTTTGTTTGAGATTGAATTTCTGTGGGGGGTTTTTTCAGAAGGGACAAAAATCAGCATAGCAACCAATGACTCAGCATTTTCTGATTGAATTTTCTAGCTTGTTTAAATAATTTCTCCTGTTGTGTGTTGAGTCCCTTAGATGTTGCTCTCTGTCTTGTTTTTTGGGTGTTTAATTTGATCCACGCTCCGCTCTTATCCCCTCGTTCAGGCTTGTTAAAGATCGAAGGAACAATTAGTGCGGCCAGGCTGTAGGCTTTAAGGGTTTTATAGTCGGACGTCATCAAATTACACCCTCTGCTTCACTTATTAAAAGTGCTAGTGTGTAAATGAGTTTCTTACTTTGTTCCCCTGCTCATGATTAAAGAGCGTTTGCGCCGTCAAAGTGGAAATGGTTCATGTTTATCCTTCCACGCTGCTTGTAAACGCCAGTCCTGTTTTGGACTTGTGAAAAAAGCCTCTCATAGAGTTTCTTTAACAGCTTTTTTCTGCCCTTGTAGGTTTTATAAGTGCTTCCTGTTGAGCTTAATAACCCTGTGGTCTTTTGGTATTTCATTTTAAGGCTGGAGACGGTTTACAGTGACTCAATCCGAAAAGCTGAGCTCGAGGCCCGGCTGCAGTATTTAAAGGTGAGTAGTTTCCCCTAAGCTTTTTGTTTGTGAGTCAGACTGATTATGTGTCCAGTAGCCTTTCACACCCACACACACACATTTAGGTTATGTTAAATGCTACGCATTGGGACCCCTTCCCCCTCGCTCCACACCTGTCTCCAGAGTACGTCCGCCTGTTGCATGAAGCGGTCAGACGCAGGGAAGCGGCTCAAGTGCACAAGCTTTCCCTAAAGATTACAGCAGCTGTTCTGCTCTAATCCAATGCAATACAGCCACTATTATAGATACCAAGCCAGCAGTTTAAACATCAACCTATTAGGTGCTGGTATTTTATTTTTTTCAATGTGTGAAGAAGCTACTTGCTTTGTTTGTAAAGGAACAAATCTTTTGCTTTTCGCTGCAGCAAACGCTTCATGAGAAGTGGGATGAATATCGTTCGTTGATGGTGCAGGAGCAGAGGCTTGTCCATGGTAAGTCATCATTTTAATTCACTACCTTCCTGATGCCAGCTTTCATTTTGCTCATAAATAGATGAATATATTTCCATATTTAGATCTGAAACGCTGCAAAAACTCACAATTGGACAAAATAAAAGCGTTTTTGGTCCAGTTTCTGGTACAAATGTCTCAGCACACTTGAAATAAAACAGAACAAACTTTCCAGTAGCTTTTCAGCAAAGACATAGGAGCTTGTTTAAAGTCAATAATTCACTAATATTTAGAAAAAGTACTTGCTCCACAGGCAGACTTATAACATGGGAAAAAGTCTTGTTTATACATCTTGTTTTTCATCAATATTAAGGATTTACTTGCTTAAATCAAGTGCCTATTTCTTGCTGAAAAGTTACTTTTAAGTTAGTTTTGTCTTATTTCAAGTGTACTAAAATATTTGCACAAGAAACTAGACCAAAATTACCTCAAGATATTGTTTTGTTTTTTTGTTTTTTTTGCTTTGTTTGTTCTTTGAGGAACGTTGCTGGATTTAGTGTTTTCAGGCAGCACAATGCATAAGCTCTTAATTTCCAATAAAATTGGAAATGTTAACTGCATTTTCCGCGCTGCTTAAATAGGACTTTTATGTCTGTTTCCGTCAGCAATGGCAGGAGTAAAATAAGTCAGAAATTTGCATAATTTAACCTTTTTGCCAATAAATTCCTTTTATATGCCATTTTTTTAAGTCCAGATGTTGTTGCCTGCTGTGCTGACGTTGCTCTCGTCTCCTGCAGGTATCGTAATGAGCGACGCTGCTCTGTACGAGTCCCTGGAGTCTGCAGGAATCTACGGCAGCCTCGGAGCTCCCAGCCCCGCGGCGCAGAGAGCCCTCCACTGCAACGGCAGCACCAGCAGCAGCGCCAGCCTCCTCAGCACGGCCACCGAGGACGACCCGCTCTACCAGACCTGCCAGTACCACTCGGACAGCTACATGGACTCGAGCAGCGCCGACAAACTCAATGAGCAGCCGCCTTCCCAGAGGCAGCAGCGCATCCGACCGACCAGCGAACTCCTCACCGTGACCAAGACTCACCTGACCCGCAGCGCCAGCACGCGCAGCTACGTGAGGGGATCTTCGTCATCCTCGTCGTCCGTGGGCTCGGCGGAGAAACAGGGAGGATTCGGCTCGCTGCAGAGAAAACCCAAACAGAAGAGCTTCCGCAGGCGTCTCCTCAAGTTCATCCCAGGTTTGAATCGACCGCTGGAGGAAGAGGAGAGCAAACTGTGAGCAAAGGACAGAAATAAAGACTAAAAACAACAAAGACTTTCAAACTAAAGTGCCAAAGAGAACAGCAAATAGCCTCCAAAGAGGCTGTTTGCTGAAGCCTGACACCAAAGCAAAGTGGCTGCATTGCTGGAAAGACCAGTGGACATAACTTTTGCTTTGGTCTGTCTCAACTTCTAAGTTATTTATTTATTTTTACATGTTCTTCTCATGCAGAAAGAATGATGTTTCTTTTTTTTTTTTTTTTTTTTTTT